CGTATTTGCGAATCCTAGTACCTTAAGTGCAGCAATTGAGGCTTCGGTATTGTGGTCATATTGCCTGCGTGAGACCATGCGTACCCTGGGTAAAGGTGCAGCACTGAAGTGACACATCAGGCAGGAGGCTCTGTTGCACGTCTGGCTATCCGATATTATCAAGTTGGGGGACTGACCTGTCAGGTGCCGACAGGTATTGTCCCAGGAAGAGGAGTCTCGGGCCCGGTATGGGAAGATTGGCCCAACTGACATGAGTGTTGAAGTGGATGACATCCAGGCCGCTCTACAGGTGTTAGGGGGTGCATCAGCGGGATTATTGGAAGTTACCAGGATTCCCGGAGCAGCAGGGCCGACATCCATGGTTCTAGTAAAGATCGACGGGCCCCTCCCTGACCGGGTGGTACTACACAGGACCCTGTATCAGGTCAAGCCCTACAATTTGTCTGTGTTTCGATGCTATGCTTGCCATATTTTGGACCACAGTCGCCTCACCTGCCGTAATGCAGCGTGCTGCATTACGGCAGGTGATGGATAGTGGACTTCTCACATCATGCCTAAAATCTAATGAGTTGGGTGAATACACCGGGAACTCCTGATAAGTATTCCTCAGTGCCATGAGCCTCAGTGGAAGACCATCATCCCAGTCTCTGCCAGTTTCAACTGGTTGTCAGCATTTGTTTAAGAGTTTGATGCATCCTTTCCAAAGCACCTTGGCTTTCAGGATGGTAAGTAGTGGATATCTTATGGAGGATGTCAAACTCCCCACATAATTGCTGAAAACCTTTAAAAGTGAAATAGGCCCCAATATCTGTTTGTATTACTTTTGCAAAATTTCATTTTGTGCCTTACTACCACTTTCGTTGTAGCATTTCTCACATTGAATGCCTCAGGAAAGCATGTAGTCTGACACATTATGGTGGGGATATACAATGGCACGGTCTAGGCAATGGGCCTACTGCATCAACAATAATATGGGTAAAGGGTTCCTCAGCCACCACAATTGACTGTAAAGGGGCTTTTGGTATTATCTGGTTTGGTTTGCCAGTTTTTATACATACTGGACATTCATTACAATACTGGATGACATCTTTCTTTAATCCAGGCCAGGTAAAGTACTTGCTTATTTTATTATATGCTTTTGTAATACCCTGATGACCGCCTATTTGTGAATCATGGGTTACACTTAGCACACTACACACAGAAATCACAATAAATCGTTTTGCCCGAAACGCATTGCGTAATAGTGGCTTTAGGCATTGTATGTACTAGCTCTATCTATATATCAATCCATTAATGTAACATCACTTGTATGTATATACCTTACCTGAATAAACATCTGAATCTGAATCTGAATCTGAATCTGAATCAAATGAACAATATCCACAAGCACCGTGACGAGGGTTCGAACCTATGTCCGAGAGGAACATAGACGCTGCCTTAATCGACTGAGCTACGACATGGTTAAAAGAATTACAACCAGAAGTTCTACTGATCTTACTTGGCTCCTGCAGCCTCACTGAGACACAAACCAGGATTTTAAACAATACCCCCATGCACCCGTGCTCTGTCAGTAAGCCGTTCTACCTCTTCCCACTTCCTTTTCTCCTTTTCTCCTTAGCACCTTTTCCTAAAACTCCTCGATAGGACTACTTGATTAACTATCTTGAGGTTATCTTGAGACGATTTCGGGGCTTAGCATGTATTCGATTCCCTGCAATGATTGTGATTCTGTGCACCTTGGACAAACTGGAAAGTCCTTACAATTGCGGTTGTCACAACATGTTTATAGTATTAGAACTGCCCAAACGTCTAGTGCATTGTATCTGCACACGAGTTTATGTGACCACTCTATTAACTGGAATGGGGCAAAAAGCATTACCAATTGTGGAGGTTTCGTGGAACGGAATTTGGTTGAATCTGCTCTAATCAGTCAGTGTCCACATCTTCTTAATATTAGTACTGGTATGTACAAACTGATCCGTTTTTAAGTTAAGTCTGGTGTTGACACCAGCTTTAATCAGGCCGAAACGTTCATCTTCCTTTCACATTTCTCTGTGGATTTTCTGTATATATATATATATATATATATATATATATATATATATATATATATATATATATATATATATATATATATATATATATATATATATATATATATTGTGACGGTGTTCCCCCCCCCCCTTATATTTCTCCCACGCCTGCAGTAAGAGTCATGTCCACTTTACCCAAGCGTTCTCTAGGTCGCAGGCATCAATTTGATATATGGGGGAGAGTGGAGTGTTCTCGGAGTGCCGAGAAATTTATGAAACAATAGTATTCTGGCCTGTGGTTTAGGCCCTTTAGGAAGCCAAGATGGCGCTGGCTCTCCTGTTTCCCCGCCAAAACTGTGTGACGTCAGTGACACCGGATTGGTCACCGACAGCAATGTGGCACAGGGAGCCAATGAAAACCTCCCGTGGCGAATGTGACGTCACGAAGGAAGGGGGGTCCGGTCAGCGCGCCGCGTTGGCGCCATCAGTCAGACACGACACGTCAAGGAGGTTGGACGTGCGAAGATTGGTCCTGTCAGTTTGACAGTTGTTTCCCGCTCCCGTGGATTTTACGCGTCACCTGAAGTCTGCCAGTACTCTGTGAGGTCTTCCTTCGTTCATGTGTTGAATCAGAGAGGGAATCGACGGTTATTGAGCAACAAGTGCTCCAGGACAGGTACTGTGTGAGAAGAAGTGAAGTCTGTGCAGTGACGTAGCCGACGTCTGAGGCAGTTCACCCGTTCGTGACGGCGTAGTGGCTGAACAGAGCCACTGGGTAGCAGAGGAAGAAGAGGACTATTTGGGAATCCGAACGACTGCAGCCGAGAAGTAGGCGGGCAGCCGTAGCTGGGAGAAGTCGACGGCCGGGAGACCGACTCCAACCCTACAAGAAGTCGAGGAGGAGCACGGACCTGCTGGGAGAAGGCACGGAGACGACGCGCTTACGGTGGGACATTGTTTGAGTTCCTGGAGGACACGACAGTGTGTGTGTGGGGGTGTTCCCGACACAAGGCAGGAGCCAGGACCAGGAGCTACAACTCAACTCTCATCGGAGGATAGGTGGAAGTAGGTGGTTCTAGTTTCCCTCCCAAATTCCCCTTTAGTCAGCTATATATATTATTCAGCTATATTATTTAGCCTGAGGATTTTGTATGTCGTGAGCAAGGCTCACCTATGTCACAGTAAGGCACCAGTGTGCAGAGTAGTACTATCAAGAGTACTCACGATACATATATATATTATTATTGGTGTGTACAGGCACCCGGATTAATTGATGAACTTTCCGTGTTGAGAATGTCTTGCATGAAACTTTAGTGTGATAAATATAATGAGATAAAATATATAATATTATGCCAGTATTTGGAAGTTAGGCTATGTGCCCAGTAACTATTTTATTACCATTTATTGATGTCTGATTTATCTATATATTATATATGTCTATGTTCGTGCATTGAATGATAATTAATGTGTGCAGTGATTAATTGTGTTATAGCCCACGAAAGGAAATACTGAGAACTACAGTGTCAAACACTTCATAAGTTATCATTTAAATGAAGGGCAGTGTGTAATTCCGTGGCAGTGAACTATTGTCATATTTAATATAAATATTTGTTTGAGCCCAAGGTCAGTGTAGCGAAGTAATACGTGCTATTGTCGCAAATATCGAGTGTTCGAACTTCTAGTGATCTTTGAGAACTTAAAGAAACAGCGCGCGTGACGCCAGTTAAACAAGCAATAAACATTCGCGCGGGGAAGGCGCCCAGCTGATTCTGACAGTGACGAGAGGGGGAGTGTTGCCGACTTAGTGAGTGCATATTATACGTGGGAACGAACGACTCCCGCCTGGATCAGCTGATTGTTTATTGATATGACCTTGTGATGCCTTTGAATGAGTTTTAAGTAAAATACAAAATACACTTGTGTTTATATCATCCCCTCCATTTATCTTGTGGCTATATATACCTGAAAGCAGAGAGTGATAGAAGTAAATACCTGCCTGATATCCTGATCTATTGAGTGTGTCCTTGCCATCGGTTACCACAACTCAACAAATCCACTGACGTGTTACTGGACACCGAAAACACCAGTTGGCGACCTTGTGGTTAATAGTAGAGCTCTATTGTTGGGGCGGGCACATAACAGTTAAGTGAACGAGTTGTGTTCCCACTCCTTCTCAATCAGAGGCCGGTTGGGATTGACTGGGATACTCTCCTGGCGTACAGTGGCGCCGCGAGGATAGAGTGAAGACCCGCAGGGCTACGGTGAGTGACCTTGAGTATAACTGTTGCTCACCGAGAATATAACAGTAAAACCCCAACATTGGCGACCTTGCCAGGATCACGATCGAAATAAAGGTTGCAGTTGTGGTACTTGGCAGTGGTATCAGGTATCAGGTTATCACTCATAGCACAAGATGGAGGATGATAAAGTAACAAGGTTCATTGACACTAGAGATGAACAGGTGCTGGAGGAGTGCACCAAGGCACAGTTACAGGCAATAGCAGACCATTTTGGGATAAAGCTGAGGTCTGCCAGAGTGGGAGAAAGAAGACTGGAGATAATGGCACAGCTCAGGGCACGAGACGAAGCTTTGGGGGAGGAACGGCCACAAACACCTGCCAGTGCGGGAGAACACCTGAGCATTGGTGGGAGCAGCAGGGGATCCAGCGGCAGCAGGCACAGCGTTAAGCTGGAGATAATGAAGCTGCAGCTGGAAGCACAGCAGCGTGAAGAGCGAAAGCAAGAAGCGCGAAGCAGAAGCACAGCAGAAGCAAAGAAGAACGAGAAGCAGAAGCACAGCTGAAGCGTGAAGAGCGAGAAGCACAGTTGAAGCGTGAGGAGTGAGAAGCACAGCTGAGGCGTGAAGAGCGAGAAGCAGAAGCACTGCTGAAGCGTGAGGAGCAAGAAGCACAGCTGCGCAGGGAAGAGCGAGAGGCATAGCAGCGCAAAGACGAGCTAGAAGCCAGAATGAGACAGCAGGAGATAGAAGCCAACAAGGATGTGGAGCTGAGGCGAGCTGAACTAGGGATAGCTCCCACTGCTCCGCCGCAACAGGAAGACCGACGAGTGAGGGAGCGAGATCTGCCGGTATTCATACCAAGTGAAGCCGAAGGTTTCTTCGACCACTTCGAAAGGGTTGCTGCTTTGAAGAGGTGGCCGAGGGCGGAGTGGGCGGAGCTAGTTCAAGGTAGGCTCACCGGAGAAGCTCGTGAAGCCTACAATATGCTCGACTTCCAAGAGTGCACCAACTACGATGCCGTAAAGAGAGCTGTACTCCATTCTTTCAAGCTCACGCCGGAATGTTACAGGAAGAGGTTTAGGGAATGTACCCGTTCGCCAGGAAAATCTTATGCGGAGACGGCGAGGGACATGGAGAGAAAGTTCCTTAAGTGGCTGGACTCTGAAGGAGCGAGGTCGGTTGAAGAGGTCAAGGGGCTAATGGTCATGGAAAAGTTTATGTCCGTGCTCTCTCCTGAGATCAGGGTGAGAGTGAAGGAGGCGGACATAAAGGACCTGAGGGCCGCAGCCGACAGAGCCGACATGCTAGAAGAAGCCTTACGCCCACGCCGAGAGGGACAGCACCGACCACCCGTATACTCCGGAAACAGTAGGAATTATAGGAGGACGGATAGATGGAGGACAGGAGCGAGTTCTCCCAAGTCCCACCTCTCAAGTTGGGACAACAGAGGATCTAAGGGTGCTGTGGAGCCGATAAAGAAGTACCAAGCTGAGAGCTCAGGAGCTGTTGCTGCGACAAAGGAGTCGACGAATGGTGCGAGAAAGACACAGGGAGCGACGGCCTCTGGAGGCAGTGCTAAGACGAGCGGTGGCGGATGGTCTCCGACGAGGAAGGTACACTGTTACAATTGCGGAATACTCGGACACGTCGCGCGGGAATGCAGACGCCCTAAGCAGCGGGGGAACGTTGCTTTAGTGAGGTTCGAGGACCAGATGGCCGAGAGGGTGCGGGATGAACCCGTACTGAGTGGGGAGAAGAGAGTACACCCATTCGTGTGTCAGGGAACCGTAAGGATGGGGGACGCAGACCCCATCCCGGTGAAGATATTAAGAGACACTGGGGCCGATTTTACCCTGGTGAGTGAAACCCTGTTCCCCGGGGGTTACGAGAGTACCAGTGTGGGGGTGGCAAGTGTGACCACTGTGGGAGGCCCAGTGAGGATGCCCCTACACCAGGTGACTTTGAATTCTGATTATGGCTGCCAGACCCTTGTGGTGGGGGTCTGTGCATCAATGCCCAAGATGGAGGCACAGGTCATCTTGGGAAATGACGCATGTGGAGGATATGTCCTGCCGAGTCTCGTGAAAGGCGAGGAGTGCCTAGAGCAATACAAGGAGACGGGCGGAGTGTTAGACGCCTGTGGGGACGAGAAGGGAATCGCCCCGGTGGCGTTCCCAGTTTGTGCTGTGATGCCGAGACAGCGCGAAGAACAAGGAGGTTGTGGATCTGATGGGGCTGAGGAGACGTCCGACAGCCTGGGAATCGATCACCTCTTCATAGGACCCGGAGAACGAGCGGAGGGCGAAGACAGCCCGAATGGTGAGTTGCAGGTGACCCTCACCAGTTCTCTAGGGGTAGACCGCACTCGTCTTGGAGAGTTGCAGCAGATGGAGTTCCCCGAATTGATTCGTGAGGCCAAAGGAGGACGTGTTGGTCCTGAGAAGGCTACCCATTTTTACATACAGGACGGCATGCTGATGAGACAGTGGAGGCCTGTGAGGATGGAGGCCGGAGAAGAGTCTCTGAGTACGAGGCACCAGGTAGTGTTGCCGGCCCAGTGCAGAGCGGCTGTGTTGGACCTATCGCACTCCGTGGACTCTGCAGGTCACCTGGGGGTGACCAAGACGCTGCGAAAGATCAGGGAACACTTTTACTGGCCAGGTATGGACGCCGAGGTGAGGCGTTATTGTAAGACGTGCTTACCGTGCCAGAGGGCCGGGAAGAGCCAATCCGCGATACCGAAGGCCCCATTGATTCCTGTTCCGGCGTTTGGGCCTGCATTCGAGCGTCTGTTGGTCGACGGGGTGGGTCCGTTGCCAAGGACGAAGCGAGGGAACACCTACCTGATGACGATAATGTGTGCGTCCACCAGATTTCCAGAAGCCGTCCTGATGCGACGTTTGACGTCGAAAGGAGTAGCCGGGCAACTACAACGTTTTTTCTCTTGGGTGGGGATGCCCAGAGAAATTCAGACAGACTGCGGAAGTATATTCCAGTCTAAGTGGTTCCAACAGATGGTGACAGGTTGGGGAGTGACTCAGATTCGGTCGTCGCCCTACCGACCGCAGTCGCAAGGGGCGATCGAAAGATTTCATTCCACCTTGAAGACCGTCCTGAGAGTATTCTGCGCAGAACAGGGGGCTGAGTGGGATGAGGCTGTATACCCCGCGTTGTTTGCCATACGTAACGCGGTGGTAGAATCGTTAGGATTCTCACCTTTCCAGCTGGTGTATGGACACGAGGTGCGCAGTCCTCTGTCCATGCTGAAGGAGCAATGGACACCGGGAGTGACCGTGGGAACGGTGAATGAATATGTCCAAAAGTTCAAAGAGCGTCTCACTCTAGCGAAGGAACTAGCTGGGAAACATCTGAAGGAGGCGCAGCGTAAGATGTCGGAGTGGTACGACGAGAGAGCTACGCAGAGGGAATTCCAGGTCGGGTCCCAGGTGATGGTTTTGCTGCCGGGTAAAGGTAGGGTGACCGAGTCACGGTTTGAGGGACCATACCAGGTGCTGCGGCGGTTGGGTCCTGTATCGTATGAGATTGGGAAGCCGGATAGACCCCGCAAGAAACAGGTGTGTCACGTAGACCGCCTGAAACCTTTCTTCCCTGTGGAAGGAGGAGCCGCCAGGCAGGACGGAACGGTGACCCGAGACCCCCAGCAGAAGACGGTTCTGTGCGTGCAGGTGGACCAAGAGCTCCCGGAGGAGGAAGGAAAGTGGTCCAGGGCGGACGGCACCCGTCTCACCAACACTGAGAGTCTGGCGAAGATCGAGGACAAGCTACTACATCTGGAAGGGCAACAGAGCGCGGACCTGACGAACCTACTGAGGAAGAATGCCTCCCTCTTTACCGACGTGCCCGACGACACAAGAGTGTAACGCACGAGGTAGAGGTGAGGGACGTCAGGCCCGTCAAGCAGGGCGCATATAGGGTGAGCCCGGAGAAGCGGGAGCTGATGAGAAAGGAGGTGGAGTATCTCCTTGAGAACGACCTTGCGGAGCCCAGTAAAAGTGAGTGGAGTTCCCCATGCTTGTTGGTGAGGAAAAGCGACGGCACCTTCCGCTTTTGTACAGATTACAGGAGGGTGAACTCCATCACAGTGGCAGATTCTCACCCCATGCCAAGAGTGAGCGATTGCATTGACCAGGTGGGCAGTGCAAGGTACGTATCCAAGGTCGATCTGCTCAAGGGGTACTACCAGATCTCTTTGACTCCTGAGGCCAGGAAGATATCAGCTTTCGCAACTCCTGACGGGCTGTACCAATACAAAGTGTTACCCTTTGGAATGAAAAACAGTGGTAGCTGTTTCCAGCGCATGATGAATGATTTGTTAAGGGGTGCCGCAGGCTGCACAGTATACATCGATGACATCGTCGTGTACGCCGACGATTGGAAGATGCACCTGGAGAGACTCAAGGAATTGTTTAGAAGGCTAGAGGAGGCTAACTTGACTGTAAATTTGGCCAAGAGCGAGTTTGGGAAGGCTCACTTGGAGTACCTTGGTTTTGTCATCGGCCAAGGTGAAGTCTCCCCTGTTGATCACAAAGTATCAGCCATTAAGGAATACCCCGTGCCCAGAACGCGTAAAGAGTTACTAAGGTACCTCGGGATGATAGGGTACTATCGTGGGTTCTGCAGGAATTTCTCCACGGTAGCTCATCCCCTGACCGAGCTACTCTCCAAAAATGTACGATGGAGATGGGGAGAGGCCTGCCAAGAGTCTTTTGAAAAGACCAAGAAATTGTTGGCGGAGGCCCCGGTATTAATATCCCCAAATTTCGCAGCCGGATTCATCCTGTACGTAGACGCCAGCGACATTGGGATAGGGGCCATGTTGGCTCAAGAGAGGAGTGGAGTACATAGGCCGGTAGCGTTCTACTTGAAGAAGTTTGTGAAATACCAGCGGGCCTATAGTACCGTTGAGAAAGAGGCATTGGCGCTAGTTATGGCCCTGAAACATTTCGATGTGTACGTGGGAGGAGGGGCGAGACCTGTTCTGGTGTTTACAGATCACAACCCTCTCACCTTTTTGTACAAAATGAAGAACTCCCACCAACGTCTGACGAGGTGGGCGTTGTTACTGCAAGAGTACCGGCTGGAAATCAAGCACATCAAAGGGAAGGACAACGTGGTAGCAGATGCCCTGTCCCGTATACACTAACCAGACATGACTCTTATTTTAAGGGGAGGGGTATGTGACGGTGTTCCCCCCCCTTACATTTCTCTCACACCTGCAGTAAGAGTCATGTCCACTTTACCCAAGCGTTCTCTACGTCGCAGGCATCAATTTGATATATGGGGGAGAGTGGTGTGTTCTCGGAGTGCCGAGAAATTTATGAAACAATAGTATTCTGGCCTGTGGTTTAGGCCCTTTAGGAAGCCAAGATGGCGCTGGCTCTCCTGTTTCCCCGCCAAAACTGTGTGACGTCAGTGACACCGGATTGGTCACCGACAGCAATGTGGCACAGGGAGCCAATGAAAACCTCCCGTGGCGAATGTGACGTCACGAAGGAAGGGGGGTCCGGTCAGCGCGCCGCGTTGGCGCCATCAGTCAGACACGACACGTCAAGGAGGTTGGACGTGCAAAGATTGGTCCTGTCAGTTTGACAGTTGTTTCCCGCACCCGTGGATTTTACGCGTCACCTGAAGTCTGCCAGTACTCTGTGAGGTCTTCCTTCGTTCATGTGTTGAACCAGAGAGGGAATCGACGGTTATTGAGCAACAAGTGCTCCAGGACAGGTACTGTGCGAGAAGAAGTGAAGTCTGTGCAGTGACGTATGCGACGTCTGTGGCAGTTCACCCATTCGTGACGGCGTAGTGGCTGAACAGAGCCACTGGGTAGCAGAGGAAGAAGAGGACTATTTGGGAAT